TATGGCTTCTACATCAGCTATTCCTTGACGAGGCCAAGACCACTGACAGGCTATCGCATCATTAGTGACACAACATTAACTTACAGCTCACTGGAGTTCCTCTGGTGTTTCAAGTTTTGTGAAATATCAACAAGGATTTCCTAGGATAACTCTTCTCAGAATTACAGTTTTAAATTCTCTTCTGGGAAAGATCAAGGGGGAAATATTTTCCCATTGATACAGACTGTCAGATGGCACTGATATTTTTCCATATTCCCAAACCAAAACATTTGTTGGAAACTTGTGTTTTCTTCACCATAATTAATAATTCCACAATTTTCTTTTACTAATGCTTCAATAGGCATTGCTTTTCCTTATTATACATTAAAATCACAAGTCAAAGAGCTGGGTGTGACAAAATAGGCTAGAACTATCTTCACAAAAATGCAATAGGTATTCAAAGCTTCAAAATGTTCATCCTCAAAGAAACTTTGTTAGCTCTTTCCCTTGTTTTGTAATAACAGTGCCTTGCGCTGACATGGTGCTCTCTCCTTTAGAGGCTTTGCAGAGATTTTGCAAGTGACTGTGCTTAGGTTCAGTGGAGCACAACTCCCTCTCCTTTGCAACATGGCCAGTGTTGGAGAGAGCAGAGCTCTGTTGAGCAGAGCAGAACACAGCTGTAGTGTCCAAAAGTTTCAGGAAGAAATTCTTTTAGCCTTTTGAAAGCACAGGGAGTGATAGGTTTAATTTCTTTTCATCCCTACTCACTATGTTAACTCAAAGCAAGTGTCTTCAGTTACTTTTGCAATTTTGTTAGGTCAAAACACCTACTTTGGGGAAAATGCTATTTAATTTTTTAGTGACTCTAAGTGCCTGAGATTCTGAAGTTATATTTCATTGAAAAGAAATCCCTTCCACTAGCACTAGGCTTCCCTTTATCACTGCAGCCTGCAGTGATGGTGTGGATTTTCCCTGACTGTCTAAGATGAGCCAAGGCCAGAGAGTGAGGGGGATTTGAGCACAAGTCAGCTCTCTGGGCAGACCCTGGTTTCCCTGGGAGGTTTACACGGAGGTGTGATGCCACCACACCAGCACAGCCTCTGACTGTTGACCACAGGCTCAGCACAGCAGGAGCTCCTAGATCAAGCAGACACATCCATGAGCAGAATTTGCAATCAGTCAGAAAACATGGCCAGCATATCACATAGGATATGCTGAGTTGGAGGGGATCCATCAGGATCATCAAGTTCAACTCCTGGCCCTGTACAGGATTATCAAGAGTCATACCTTGTGCCCAAGGGTGTTGTTCAAATGCTTCTTGAACTTTGACAGGCTAGTGCTGTGACCACTTCCCTGGGGAGCCTGTCCCAGTGCCCAACCACCCTCTGGGTGAAGAACCTTTTCCTAATATCCAGCCTAAACCTCCCTTGACACAACTTCATGGGGTTTCCTTGGGTCCTGTCCCTGGTCACCAGAGAGAAGAGATCAGTGCCTGCCCCTCCTCTTCCCCTCACAAGGAAGTTGTGACTGCCGTGAGATCTCCTCTGAGTCTCCTCCAGGCTGAGCACACCAAGTGGAAACTGCTCCTCACATGTCTTCCCCTCAAGGCCCTTCACCATCTTCATTGCCCTCCTTTGGACACTCTCTAATGGCTTAATGTTTTTTTTTGACTTGTTGCACCTCGAACTGCCCCCAGCACTGGAGGTGAGGCTGCCCCAGCTCAGAGCAGAGCAGGACAATCCCCTCCCTTGCCCAGCTGGCCATGCTGTGCCTGATGTCCCCCAGGACAGGGCTGGTCCTCCTGGCTGCCAGGGCACTGCTGACTCATAGTCACCTTGCCATTGACCAGGTCTCTTTCACAGCGCTGCTTTTCAGCCTCATGTTCTCTAGTTTATATACACAACCAGGGCTGCCCCATCCAAGGTCCAGAATCCAGCATTTGCCCTGTTGAACTTCTTACAGCTGGTGACTGTCCAGTCCTCTGATGTATCAGGGTCTCTCTGCAGGCTCTCTCTGCCCTTGAGGGAGTCAACAGCTCTTACCAATTTAGTGTTGTTGGCAAACTTGCTTGGTATTCCTTCGAGAATTTAGGTCCGAATATTTTGTTAGCCCTGGCCACCCTATCCAAACTGAGAATGCACAGGAAAAGTAGAAATTAAGCTGTGATTTATTGCAGATCTTTTCATGTAACTGCTCTACACTGACCTCTCCTCACACCTTCAGTTCCCACTTCCTGTATATGTCCTCTGGTTGTACATAGGGTAACCAGAAAACCAGAACCTCCCTCTCAGGCCAAATCCAACATGAAATCCCATCAGTGTTTCCAAAGAATGGAGGGGGGGGGAG